ATCTCAAGAATGAGAAGGAGAAGGACAAGGACCTTAAGGAAGAAGGCGGGGGCCTAAAGGATCACCAAGGCAAGATCCAGCTTTGGACGCAGCCCGGCAAGCTATCAAACAACTTGAGCAGATCCGCCCAGATGCATTGTGGAAGGGCTTTCTCAAAGATGCAGACATCGCCACCTCAGCAAAGCGCAAAGCTGCTTTCAGGAAGTCGATGTGAAGGCGCTGACTTCTCCTGTGGGCGTTGCTGATCAGTTTCGAGAGGTCGGTGAGAAGCTCAACAACCTGCTCCAAAAACTTCCCAAGGCGCACGATTTGCTGAAGAAAATCAAGTCCTCCAAGGACATGGTCTCTCTGATGGAGCAAGCAGACGTTGTGATTTGGGGTGATGGGGTCGGAAACAATGGATTTCAACTCGTTGGAAACTTTTGTATTATAGCCCCTGTCACATGTCTTATTCTTGAGCCACCTGTCACCTGTCTGACATGCCGGACGCTTTGGGGTTGCATCTTGGTTGAGAGCAAGAAGAGTGTAGACACTGTGGCTCTTGTGGAGAAAGAGGGTGAGGCTCAGAAGTCTATGGAGGCGCTTGACAACCTCCTCATGTCAGGTCAGGATGATGCCACCAAAGACGTTTTCTCCGCTGAGAATGAGAGTGGGTCCCAGCAATTGCGGGCGGCCTTGAAGAGTGCTGAAGGATTTGAGTCAAGTGGAGAAATCAGAGGAGGCCAATTTCACCAAGGCCCAGGAGCTTCTGCAACAGATTCACTGATTGGGCAAGTTGTGGTATGATCCAAACAATGTCGCTGCCCCTCTACATTGGCAACTTCACCTGATGTGTGCCATGGCAAATACTAGGTCAGACTAGGTTTTCTTCACAGTTGACAATTCAAGTCAGCCCATTTGTTCAATTTGTTTATGTTTTAATCCACATTCAATGTACCTTCAGAGCCTTTGTGATGTCGCTCACTTTACACCACCTACACTGTTGCTTACTTACACTGTTAAACTGTAAACTGTTAAACCGCTTGTTGGAAGGTCCCTTTTTTTGGTGTTGAATTCAATTTGCAATCCTCCAGGCGAGCTTCGACAAACCGTTGTGAACACCGATGTGGCCTTGTCTTGGTGCCTGAAGTGCTCCGACCACATTTCAGTGCTCACCCCAGGCATTCAGAAGCTTGTGAAAAATGAGGATGGCAAGAGTGACACTGAAAAGCTTCAGCGGACGTTGGCCATGACTGCACACCTTTGGTCCAAGCTTGCATATCACAAGCAAGTGCCCGAGGAAAAGTCTGAGGTCGCCTTTCTCCTTGTGACCAAAGTTCAAGAGCTTGAAAGTCGCTTGGGCAAGGTGCTTGATTGTGAAGGGAAGGGGTTCTTGATGGCAGCCTTGAGAGCATGCTTCAATGAAGAGGCCAACTGCTCTGATGCTCTTGACCGTTTGCATTCACTTCGACAGATGTGTCAAGATGGCCCCCCCGCCCTACAAGCATGTTTCAGGACAGTGTCTGCTGCATCTCAGATTGCCCAGGACAAGAGTGTGTCTACTGTGAGATTGTCCAGCTGATGCCCCAGGAGGTTCAGGACAAGTGTCGGAAAATCCAGGCAAAGGTGAGCGCACAGTTGACTGGTCTCACTGACGATTTGAACACGGAGATTCAGCAATTCCAAACTTTGGGTACCAAGTACAAGCACTTTGGAATGAGTTTGAACAATACTATCATTTGTTACTTGTCACTTATCTTTCTTTTGGATTCTGGATTTGGGACACAGTCATGACAAAGTCCTGGCCCTAAGCTGAAACCCAGCGCGCTTAAAACCTGTCCTTTGAGAGTGGCTTGTGGGTGATGATTTCCTGAGCTTCAGGCCAATCATGGAGTGTGCTGAGAAGTGGCAAATGGAGCCTGTTCTTTGGATGTTTGATGGCAGCCATGCAGACGTTGACAGTGATTGCAAGTTGATTGTGGAGCTCCGCACCACCCTACATGAGAAGACAAAACTCATGGCCAAGGTCATTGCTCATTGTGATGGTGGTGATGACAATGCAGTCTTGCGTGGATTGGCTGGGACCATGAATCAGCAGCTGGAACAAATCCAGGCAGGGTTTGCCTCAACCCCCCATTCCACTATGGAGAAACCTTGTTGACCCTTGACAGTGGACTCATTGAGCCATGTGTCACTGTCTTTTGTTGTTTGCTGCAGTTGCCTTGCTACACCAAGTTCCAATTAATCACATGAATCAATCAGATCACACGGTAAAACGCAGTTCAGAGACATTCCTTTCCCAAATTTCCAAATTCTTAAGACATATATTTTTGTTTGTCACTCGACTCCAAAATATCTGAGCCTTTTTTGGGTGTGTGTGTCCTTGGGTAGTTCTGGATTCTGGATACTGGATACTTTTCGTTTTTATACAGTATTTTTTCATTTTGTAATACTTGTAGTTGTGCTATTTTGTGCTGCCACTTCGTTTGCCCTTCACTTGTGCAGACCCTTCGCCGGGAAATCACCCTCATCATTGTGGTGATGATGGCTTGTGATGTTTTCCTGAACAAGATTCACGCCAAGGAGAACCCAGCGGTTTGTGCCAAAGTCCTTCAGTATTTGGGGACACTTGGTATCACAAAGGGCGACTTGGTGAAGGTGAGCCCGAAACTTGTTGCCCAAATCAATGAGGTGGATGGAACGAAGGGGAAAAAACGTCCATCCGTGTCTGGCTCTGAATCCAAGGGTGATGTTGCCAATGGTCCCAATGAGCCTGAGAATGAGCCTGTGAAGAAATTGAAGAAGGAGGCCAAGAATAGAGACAAGGCAGACAAGGACAAGAAAGAGAAATCAGGTGGCGCTAAGCGATCTCGAAAGGGAGACAACACCGATTGAGTCGCTCAGTTGTGCCAGTGCCTCACCAGGTCTGGATTTTGATTTTGCTTAGCTGCGCAGATTCAGACATTGACTCAAACATCCGCAGCCTAAGAGGAAAAGAAAATGCTGCAGACACTGCAGTTTTGTGTGTCAGTGAGAGTGCTGGAGGGGGCTGAAGGAGTGAGCAATGGAGAGGGGGGGAATGTGCAGTGTAGTAGTCATTAGTGGTGCTCTTGGGGAATGTGCAGTGTAGTAGTCATTAGTGGTGCTCTTCCATGTGTTGTTTCACCAAGCTTACTTGTTCCTGGGTGCCTTTGTTCCTTGAACTGATGATAGAGAATAAATATACCACATTGGTTCCTTAAAATTATATGATAGTTCCTTAAAACTATCTTATAGTTCCTTAACCCTACCCCTACCCCCATATCAGGGAACAGAGAAATACCCTCTACACGTCCAAACTTGGATTTACTTTGTCAGACCGTGTTGCAAGCCAAAGTGATGATGGGATGGTCGAAGTTGTTTTGCCTATGGCTTTCCTTTGAATCATTGAATTGAAGCAATGGACACCGTCTTTCCCATGTGCCGAAAAAAGGCGCCTCCCTTGCGCACGGTGAACGACGAGGAGGGTGACATCACTGGCGACGAAGAGGAACGCAAGTGAATCGCTGAGGCCTTGCAGGCGACCGCTGTGACCGTTACAGGCGATACAGGCGATTGTGGCGATGTGAGAAGGCCTCGGTCTCCCAGCGTGGGAGGAGCGCGCTGTGATCGAAAAGAGATGGTGACGGGTCCTCCGGGGGGTCTGAGAAAGTCGAGTAGTAACAGGTGCCAAGCTAGTAGAAACAGGTGCCTTACTAGTAGCAACAATTTTTGCTATTAGAATTAAAACTAAACTAATAGCTTCTTGTTACTACTAGTAAGGCACTTGTTACTAGAAGCGATGCACTTGTTCCTAGTAGCTTATTGTTCGAGGTGTGAAATTACACCACCGTAGACCCCAAACAGTTTGTGTTTCTCAACATCGAAACTAGAGCTTGCGACGTCCAGAGCTGGGAGACAAAGGATTGCAAGGCATCTTAAGAAAGAATTGAGAAGCCCTGACAGCAAACCTTTTGGGGAATTATTCTTCAAGTGCGAACATGATGCTGGTCATGCTGCTCAATCAGCAAGGAGCTGACCACGTGAGGACAAGAAATAAAAGCATGAGGAGCGAAGGATGTGACATGAAATTGATGTTTGGTGCCTGACGCATGCCCTGAGACTGTCACAAAATCCAATCCGGTCATTCATGGAACGCTTGCGCGAAAAGGAAAACAAAGCTGAGAGAGTTACAGAGTGTGGCAGGAATGCACTCCCGGAGACAGTCACGCGGCAGAAAACAGCAGCGCAGGCACCTAACCTGAAAGACAAAAAGACAGAAGTCGCATGGGCGACAAATGAATAGAAATGCTACGTGGCCAGCGGAAAAGGGCGGCAGCACCAGTATAGAAAGCTGCATGGCCAGCGGAAAAGGGTGGACACCAGCAGTGACAGACCTGGAAAACAAATGAATAGAAATGTTGCATCGCCAGCGGAAAAGGGCGGACACCAACAGTGACAGACCTGGGAGACTGATGCATGGCCGACGGAAAAGGGCGGACACCAGCATGACACACCTGGGAGACAAATAAATAGAAATGCTACATGGCCAACGGAAAAGGGCGGTTCTACTTCGACTTTCAGTTTCATTTGTGTTCTATTTTTGAAACTTCCGCGAGCCAGAGCATTAGACACTTGAGCCATATATACATATATATATTTTTTTTTAAAACACATATAAACAAACGGTGTAAGTTAAAAACCTCCAACTTGGTTCAACTCTGCAGTGGCTCGCTGAAACGAGAGCGGTCCTTTCGCTTGCTGGATTGTCTGAGCATGTTCGAAGCAAACAGCATTTCAGTCTGCCATCTAGTTTCCTTTGATGGATCCAAACACCCATCAGAATGTTTCATTCAACAGTATTTATTGAATGGTTGCTTCAAGACGTTCGAATGGCAAACAACAGCGTTGATATATGAGGTGATATATAGAACCGACGAGTCCTGAAGACGCTGTGCGTCGCATAGGTTGCAAACATATGTTTGCTACGCAGAAACGCCGAGGCTGCATCAAGTGAAGTGGAATGCAGCTGAAGTGCTGAAGAACTCGGCTGCCGAAGGTGGTGAAACAAAAGGGCGCGAATCAACGAGATGATACCAGGTTGGTAATCTCGGATGATCAAAAACGGTTCCTCGTCTGGACCAAATGGTGTTCAATGTGATGGACAAGTTCAAAATAAGTTATGGGAACCATCATGATCTCCAGGTGAGGGAGGGAGGGTTTTTCTTAAAATTTACGCAATGCTGATAACACAAATGAAACATCTTGAACCAAACTTTGTTTAGGGAAACAAATTGAAAAAATCATCCGTAAAACAAAACGAACAAGTACGTTAATAGACACCAGCAGTAACGGACCTGGGAAACAAATGAATAGAAATGTTTCATGGCCAACGGACAAGGGCGGACACCAAGGCGACCATTCTTTAAAGCATTGAGAACCCCTAACAGTAAACTGTTTGGGGAAAAAACGGATGAACAGATGACATTTGTAGGGATGTTGGATGGAAATGATCGTGGTCCTTCGGTGTGAGGCTGCAGGTTTCATGAAGCAGACTTCAGATACTATTTGCAATCAACATGTCAACGTATGGAACGTATCCTAAAGGGCCCTAAGCTCATACTTTTCAAAAAATTGTAAACTGTTGTAGACCTTGATGTGTCCTTAATTCTTCCAAATTCTAAATGACACGGCTGTTCCGTCCATCACGAGCCCCTCAGGAGGAAAGCGCCACATTGGACAACCCGAACCTAGACCGACTGTTATATTGGATCGTCTTCGGGGTTGACACCATTGAGCAGCTTTGTAAGGGTTAGCCAAACAAACTGCTATGATCATATGAATCGTTTTCAACAGATTGGATCATTTATTCTATAAAGGGGGCATTTCATCCAAGACTGTGATTTGGAGTTTTCGGTGGAAAACAATCTGGGACCAAAAACGATACCCCTACTGTCATATGATCATATGCAATATGTCATTAGAAGTCAATGTGCGAACCCTTGCAAAACCCCGTAGAATGATACCTACAGCGTCCATGTGCGAAACACTACAAAACGATATGGGGCGTCCTAACTTTTAATCAATGCACCCAAAACAAGTAATAGAACCAGTGATACAAGAGCAGTCATACAAACTGTAGCAGACTAGCAGTGACCGGCTGCACGAAATGGTCGAATCTTCCCAGGCCGACCTTCGAGAGGACTGGCCCCTTTGGGCAAACGGGCACGGGGAGGGCTCCCGAAAAGGGCAAGGAAAGCGCTTTGTGCGTGTGAGGAGCCGATGCTTCGCCAGTCGCTGACGACCTTGTTGAGGCCGGATTTGAGAACGATCCCAGGAATCGGATCATCACCAAGGCAGCCAAGCTGTAACAGCAGGAGCTGAGTCCTTTTCTTTCAAGCTAGCGATGGCCTCTAACCTAATAGAGTCAATAGAGCCTAACAGTAAAGAGTTTCGAGCTGTTTAGCTTTTGGGAGCCGTTCGCTGTTCTCCAGGTTGGGCCATCGAGACCTGAGCCATCTCGAGGATTGAGAAAAAGCGCTGATTTTTCGAGGGATCCTCCTCAGGGCGGTTGACAGTACCATTTCAGATTGTAGACATCTCTGGACCGGTTCGAAGCAGACAAGAAGCAAGGTACGAGACCTTTGGCAGTTTTTGTTGGGAGGGTCCGTTCAGCTAATGAAGACGATCAGAGATTTTTGAGTGGGGCAAGTCAGATCCTCAAGCAAATTTTCAGCTATGTCGCTATGTCATGAAAATAGCAAGCATATGTCCTTGAGAGTTTGCCCCTGATATCCTTACATCTGACACCTCATCGCTTCAGCGGAGAGAAAAGACCAGTGTTCTGGGAATCAGAGGCCTGTTCTGCAGCTAATTGCCGGGAAGCAACATTCACCATCAGCGTACCCCAGAATGTCTCTCTGTCTCCCAGTCTCCGCGGTCATTTTTTGGCTCGAGGTGCCGAGCCTGAGGAAAGTCACACAAATTGGGTTCACTGTCAAGGGCGATCATTGCTCATCGTGGTTCATCGCCCCCCGTCTCGGTGGCCCCTTCGTGGCTGCCCCGTTTTCCGGAAAGAAGAGACACCAAAGGCCGCCCGCGCGCAAAGTAGCGCACACAGCATGGAGTTGGAGGCGGAGTCGGTGGGCGCAAGGTCGAAACATGGAAGGCGCCATCACATCGTGCGAGCATTTTCCACTATCGTGAGCTCCACCCAAGTTACCAAGCTTTTCCCAACCAACTTGGGTACGTCATGGAATGGATTTACACTGTTTTAGACGGATGCTTCTTTGGGGTGCAGGTCATCTCATAGACGACCAGACTCTTCTTGCTGAGATCCACCTTGGACCAATTGTATGGGGCACAGTCCTTTTCATTGGTCACGGTTCATCTCCACAATTAGGAGAGGTTTATCATCGCACTCTCGTCCTTTCTGACTGTTTTCTGGAGCGGATCAGGTGTCCTCGTCACGTCCTTCCCTCACGACACAGTCTTCCGCTTCGCAGGTGGCTCGTCACAGCGGAATCCCAGAGCCGGGCGGCCCAGAATCCGAAAGCTTGGCTCTTGGGTCTTGGGCTTTGGACCAAGAGCTTTCTTGGGTCTTGAGTCCTGTCCTGTTTCAAACACAGCAGCATTCAGTATACAGAAAGCTTTGAGAGAACGTCAAAAGGAAGGCCTCAAGATGCCTCAAGTAGTATTGTTGGTCAAATTGATGCAATCTAGACCGCTTGGAACTGAAGCGAGGGTGCATTCCCCGTCATGTTCAGATCGCCAATATCAGAACGTGAAGGAACAGAATGGTGTCAAGTAGAGGTGCGCTCCGGTCACCCCTATTATTTGCAACTCCTCAAATCATTGTAGGACGACGTTGTATTTGCAATTTCCAACAGAAAAAATGCCTTTTGGCTCGTTAGGCTTCTGCTTGGCGTTTGTTGTCAATCAGTCCAGGTGGTGAAGCATGCGTGCGGACAAAAGGTTTGTCAACTTTGTTGTGAACTGTGTGGGGGATTCAAACACTGATGTGGGCGAGAAAAACTCGGAGGATATATAAATATATACTGCAATTCCTTGAACTGTCACGTTATCTACAGGAAGATGTCCCGGTAGAGAAAGGTTCCTCTTTTGGTGAAGCCTTCTGTGCTGGGCACTGTTTGGGCACCGTGCTCGGGCACAGCATTTCGACCGTTCCTTCTGAGGTCCAGCATTTTGTCGGTTCGGATTGGCAGTGCCCCACGCGGACGAGTTGTGATCTCGAACGTGTCTTGCCTTGTTGGTGTCTTGCGCAGCCGCTCCCAGAAGCTGTGTGAATGGACGCTTGGAGATGTGCTGGTCAAAAAGCCACCAGGTACCCGGCGACTAGTGCATCTGAACCAGTTGGAGAGGCATCGAGTGTACTCGTGGACCTGTCAATTCATTCCAAATTGACACTCAATCTCTCAGAGCTTCTGATATCTTTTGAGCTCTCAACAAGCCAGTTTTCATCCATTCCCCCAGTCCCTCATGTCTTTTTTCCGGGGATTCCAGTCTGCCACCATAATCGCCAGTGCAGGCCAATGAAATTTCCTTTGCGGCCTGAGGACGGATCACGGTTGGGCGGGATGAATGCCTCCAAGATCCTCGTTTGTCACTTTCTAATGAATCCTTCTTAGACCCTTAGCAGGGCACAACATTCATTTCTTACGTGGATACCAGGAGTGAAGATGAACCAAGATCATGTAATTAGGTATCCTTTCACTTCAACCGATCGAGCTGCCTTCTTGCAGTGAGCATTGAATTGCCTGCATACACCACGAGCTGCTGTTTTCATCTCTGATCTGCTATTAACCCCTCTATCCCACTTTGAATGCGGTCAGTGCAGACTATGGATGCAAGGCGATCAAGCTTCTTCTTTGTTCGAAGACCAGCGGACTTCCATCAAGATGTTTCGCTCGCAACGAAGCTTGTGCCAGGAGTGTACAAGCATCAAGGCCAGACATTCAGTTTGGTCCAACGGCTAGGTCCAACAAAAGTCCACGTGTTTCAGCTTGGGATTGGTCGGCATCTTGCTTTGCAACCCGAGGACGAAACATGCAAGACTCACGGAACTTCCAATACATTCACGTTTTTGCTGGTTGATACCCTATGCCAATTGATTCCATTGGGGAGCAATGGACTTTGTGGTTGAGGTTCGGGTCAAAAGAAGATGAGGAATTTGTCCTTCTCGGTTTGATCAGAGAATTTCCATCTGTAGAGAATTTCGGGAGATAGCTTCGAACTTCAAGTCAGGAGAATGTCATGCCGAAAGTCATGGCTTTCTGCCGCCCATCTTCACCCCTCTGCCGAGTCATGGCTCGTTCGCAGGTAGATGTGATGGATCTCTCAGGCACGGCACGTGTGGCCTGTCAAGCCAAGACGCCTGGGAACCCGGAGCCAACTCGTTCCCGGTCGGTGAACGGAACCCGGTTGGGGTGAAAGCAAAAATGGATGGAGAGCCAGAAGAGCATGGTATTTTTTTGAGTAAATCAAAGCGTATATTTGGCTAGAGGCCTGAGTTTCTTTGCATTCAAGCGTAATCAAGAGTTTCTTTTTTCATCAAAAGCCGTCCATGCCTGTCTTCAGCGATACTATGCGATATGATCTCAACCTGCAAAGCTCCACGATCGAAGGCCTTCCTGAAGATCCCTTAAACGGCCAAAGCCTGGGTCTGTAAGCTACTCCTTCATCACTAGGAACGCGACCACGAACTCCAGAGGCACATTCGTCCTATCGAAGCATGGTGTGAGGACCGAATACACCATCCCCTTGGAAACCACAGACGAAGTGCCCAGTGCTACCGGGATGGAGGCGACGGATATGGCAGCGCAGGGCAGGGAGAAGAGGGTCGGGTATAGGTTCTAAGGCCCAAACTCCACTGAGAACAAGTCCATCTGAAGAGAGATGCTTGTGCAATCCTTGGTTGCTGCTGTGGGTTGGAGGATCTTTTCTGCCAAGAGAAGATATATAACAAACATATAGAAATCTTTACTCGCTGTTGGTTCGGTGGGGGGAGGGTTGTGCCGAGGTTTCGCCGCAGAGCGAGGATTCGCGGGTTCTTTGGGTGAACGTTGCCTTCCGAGAAGGGGGGCTTGGGTCACTATACAGCAAAACATGTGCTGAGAAGACTCGTTGA